CAACAACTTCCCAGGTATTGTTCATTTTCAATGACCTGTACTCGTTTATAAGCGCCTCCTTCCATTCAATGGCATTTGTACCTTTAAGTGCTGCGCTCGCAGTTAGTTCCTTTGGGTTCGTTGCAAGTGAAGTGGCTTCGTAGAACACATCTTCTGAGTCGGACTCAAAATGCTGATTGGGTGTGTCGATCTGGTCTGCAAGTATTTGATTGTAAATTAATCTGGGTCTTCCTGGTTTACCTGTTAACAGCTTCCTTGGTCTTCCACGGCCACGTTTTACTGGCTGTCTATCGTCTGGCTCATTGTCCTCTGACTCAGGATTTTCTGGTTGGATGCTTTCGTTGTCATCTTGGTCATTTTCTGGTTGATTGTCTGCTACCGGCTCAATGTTGACATCGATCTGAGGTTCAATGAACTCTTCGAACTTATACTCGTGCCCAAATAGATTTGTGAAAACGACGTCTCGGCTTTTAATTAATATTTGGTTTTTGACATCGTACAGTCTATAAGCTTTGGCATCGGTGCAGTATCCAACGAATACGCATTTCTTGGATTTTGGGCTGAACTTACTCTTCGATCGCTTGTCCAGTGAATATGCAATTTGACCAAATTTTTGCATATGCCTTACAATTGGGATGCGATTGTTCCACAGCTTAAAGGGCGTTTCTCCACATAGGCTCCTTGAAGGACATCTGTTTCTTATATAGTTTGCTGTGTTTACTGCTTCAGCCCAGTAGCTCGCAGGAAGTGCGGCCTGCAACATCAGGCAGCGAGCCATTTCAACAAGGGTCCGGTTCTTACGTTCGGCTGTACCATTTTGTTGAGGAGTATATTCTACGGAATACTCGTGCTTTATTCCCTGGGCTGCAAGATAACTTTTGAACTCATTATTAGTGTATTCTGTACCGTTATCTGACCTGATTGTTTTTATCTTCTTTCCAGTTCGCCGTTCAACATAGTTTTTGAATTCCTTAAATTTCTGGAACACTTCAGACTTTCTTTTAATAGTGTAGAGCTCGCACCATTTTGAGAAATCATCGATGAATGTCAAAAAGTAGCGGCTGCCGCCGTGGCTATTTACACGCATGGGACCGCATACGTCGCTGTGGATAAGTTCTAGTACGTCTCTTGCCCTTGAATTTGATACAGGGAACGGCTTCTGGGACTGCTTCCCCTTGATACATACTTCGCAAATTGGAAGAGTCTCCTTGAAGTTTACTTTGGCTCCTTGTACTTTACCTTTTCTTATTAGTTCTTTTAGGTCCGGCTCATTAAGATGGCCGAAACGTTCATGCCATTCTTTGATGCTGTTTTGCTTACCTGCAGCGATCTGGCTGCATTCGTGTTTTTCTTCTATCTGGTATAAGTCCAATTTGCGAGGAGCGGTGAATACTATTTCTCCTCCTGTAGCTCTAATTATTTCAGCTTTCTCCTTCTTGAAAACAATATTGAAACCGTGATCACATATTTTTGAGACCGATAAGAGATTGGTCCTTAAATCTGGCACATAGAGTGTGTTCTTCAGGCTGGCGGTGAACTTGTTGTTTGGCGAGAACTGCACGGATCCATATCCTTTTATGTCTGTAGCCTCATCATTTGCCAGTTTGAGCTTCGGGCCTTCTGCAGGCTCAAAATTTACGAACATATTTTGTTGTGAGCACATGTGAGACGTTGCTCCAGAGTCTAGACACCAGTTACTGCAATCACTGCTTGTATGATAGGCTGCGTTGATGTACATGCTATCATCCTGGTTCTTTATTGGCTTCGACCTGCACTCAGCTGCACGGTGACCGACTTTTCCGCAGTTGTAGCATTTAAACTTAAACTTTTGATTAGTGCTTAATTCTTTCGGTTTGCTTTTTATTATACTTCTTGTGTGCCAATAATGCTCCAGGCGTCGACTCGCTTTGATTTCTGTTTCTCGCCTCGTATTCGTCTAATAACTTTATTTTAAGTGCCTCCGTTGATATTAAGTTTTCCTGCGTTTCAATCGCGATTCGAAACTGTTCATATTCCTCAGGGATACTGTACAGTAGCAAAATGGTTAACAGATCGTCAGTATTCATGAGATCAACTTCATTTATTTTGTCTACTAAATTGGAAAACATATCTATGTGGCTTCTCATGTCTCCGCCTGCATTCATTTTTAGTAAGATCAGGGATTTCAACAGTGCGGCTTTACGGGCTGGCCCCGTAGACTGGTAAGTGCTATGCAGCTTCTTCCATACATCGTTTGAAGTTTCGCAGTTTTTTGTATGCCTTAGTTCCGATGTTGACATGGCCAAAATGAGATCGGACTTAGCCTTTGCATCTTCGTTTATCCACAGCGCTGTTTGTTTCGGGTTTTAAATGAGTCCCGTTTACATATTTCCACGAGTCGTTCTTGACTAACAAAGCCTGCATTTGTATTTTCCAGGTGTCGAAATTATCTTTGCCCAAGGGCTCTATGCGTATACTAGCAATACTCATTTTTCTTTATAATTTGCGTTTAGTTTTGCTACACAAGCAACTATTTCACGAAGCTACACAAGCAACGAACACTCTTCTTTTTCTATCAACAATTTGACGTCTTCTGTTGCGTTTAGTTTTTGCTACACAAGCTAACTTTTTTTTTTTTTTTTACGGAGCTACACAAGCATCGAACACGCTTCTTTTCTCGATCGCCAATAAGACTCCTTCAGTCTCGTCCCCAGAAGTCTCAAATTCTTGCACATGCATATGTATGTGCGCGTCGGCAATTTCACCACAAAATGAAATTTGGCATTTAATCTCACTGGTTGTTCAATATCTTCTGCTAACTATTTTCTTGCGCAGTGGAAGCGTGCTGGGCCCATAACCTGTTGTAATTTAGCTTGAGTAGTGAATAATAGTTTTATTTAGGATAATTGATACAGAGATTAAGTTTTACACATTCGTTGGCGATAGTGGTGGACAGAAGAAGGGAGGAGACAAGTTACATTATATGATGACTTTATCGTACTATCGATAGTTCGGTTTGTATATCAATACGGTGCCAATTGCATTTCCAATACTTTCCAAATCATATTTTTTTATGCATACCTTGATCAGTAAAAAGCGCGTGCCGATCGCACATCAATATACCAAAGCTCCCATTGGAACAATAGGGTGAAATCTAGTAAAATTTAATGATTTTCCGTATATTTCGCGCAGTATATAAGCTATTGACATACATCTTTTTAAATCGTATTTTTTTATGCATACGTTGATCAAGGTAAAAGCGCGTGCCGATCGGACGTCTATATCCTATAGCTCCCATAAGAACAATAGGGTGAAATCGGTTCAAATGTGATGTTTTTCAGAATATTTCTCTCAGTGTATAAGCTATTGACATACATTTTTCCAAGTCTTATTTATTTACGCAGACATTGATTGGGGCAAAGGCGCTTGACGATAGAACGTCTATATCTTATAGGTTCCGTAGGAAAAATTATTAAAGGCGGCGAAAATAACCCTTTTTTTCTATTTTTATATGACATTTTTGCAGTATAAAAGCTAGTTACATGAAACTATGCAAATCTAATTCCCCCTAATGCCACAGCCCGCAACATAAACGTCGATGACTACACTGTCTCACATCACAAAATAATCGCTCATCACTAACAAACAAAACAAACAAAATGTAAACAACGTAAATAATTATAATTGGCGGGAAAATATTTTGGTGGCTATTGTTGACCCAGCCAAGCGCGCGCACCCAACCAAGGATGCCCCGGAGGTTTTTGCAGTGGCATCACCCATATTTCCCTTCGGTCCAAGTCACTCCTCGCGACTAGGACAGCTCCATCTCCCCCACAACGACAACTCACTCGCACATTTCAGTTTTTACATACATTTCATATTCACAGTAAGTACCTATGCTAAACATTGCTATAATGGCTTTCCTATAAACTAATTTATCCTTCTTCAGCCTTTAAGGCCAAACTTGGCCGCCGTCTTCGAATTTACGCGGTCAAGGCTGAGGATGACCTTCCCTTGGAAAAGACTACAGGCGCCGCGGCAATAATGTTCCACCAGACACGTATTGGTGGAACTCGCATTTGTCGGGTCACCTAATCCTGAGGAACTCCTGGGGAAGAGAAGGGACAGGCCAAACGGTAGGTAATATGCGCTGTAAACGATCCCGCCGAAAACTAATAAACGCGACCCTTCTTTACAGGCAACAACGACGACAACTGAGGTTTTTGGGTCTAAGTCCGGATAAATTCACAGGTCAACACGGTAAGTATAAATTAAGTAATGTGCACATTTAATTAACATTAATGATTTTTAGCCACTTCTGGGCTAGGCACCGGTCAAGATATGCCCCGGCCGAAGAGTACCCTGCCGTAGTCCAGCAGCAATAAGGGCCTGGAACACCACGAGGAACGGTAGCGAAGGCGAGAACCTTACGAACCCAAAGCGAGTGGGTTTTAATAGCCCGGAACGGACTCATCGGGGAATGTTGGATGGCGTTGGCTGCGTCCGAGGAAGGCGGGTGGTGCTTGTCCAGATCTCGTAGCTGCGTCGAACGAAGGTGGGTATATATGTATACGCCAATCTCCAAGGTAAATCTCTCTCTGCCCTATCATTGCTATATCGCCATATTCCCTTGCCTCTCTCGAAACTGGGTCATCGGACATATTCAAGGCCAAAGTAAAGTAATCCCTGTAAGCAAGTAAAGTAATTCAAATGGCCAGATCGTCCGCCAGATTCCCCAAAGGGGGCGCCACCGAAACCATCGCTCTATCATCCTAACCTATCGATAGAGTCCATCCCATTATCGACTCCAACTGCAACACCAACCAAAGATTTCGAGAGGCGCTAACCGGAGTCTCAGCAGAACGACGAAATAATTGGTAGCTTTGGAGATACGGTAGGAATCAACACGGCACTGATATCATCCTGCAGTTCGAACGGCGACTAACGCGGGGCCCACACATGACGGGAAGTATTCCTGATTTTGTCGTATACTTGTATACTTTGTGTGTCCTTCTTTCAGATCAAAGGCGGATGTCCTTAGCGTGATACACTCCGAGACTGCGCCCTTGGAGGTCCTCCAGCAAGTATGCATTGTTGCCGACGGATTTGACGACCCTGGCCTTCAGGAACTTGCGAGCGAACTTCGCATTGAAAGATTTGCTGAAGTCACTCTGCACGAACTTGCGGCGGAAGACTTCTTGACCCGGGTTGGCGAGTAGCGTACGGGCTTGCTTATCGTAGCGTTGCCGGCTCATCTCGTATGCACCCTGTAGTTGCTTCTGAACCTTGTCATGGATTACCCGAAACTTGTCCTTGGTCTGCATTCCCGCCATCTCGTGGTCGCACAGAGACCTGAGTTGTCTGGCTAGCTTGTAGCTGGAACCGTTGAGGAACATATAATGGCCGAATACGGTGAAGAACGGCGCTTCTCCTGTAGCTGAGTGGACAGGGTTCCGGATGGCTACCTCAATCTCGGGCATTCACGGTGATCTCCGTACAATAAGCTGCGAATTGCTGCCAAGACACTACGGTTAACTCTTTCTGCTGCATTGCTCTGGGGTGAGTATATCGGAGTCTTGATGTGGTGGATACCGAAGCCATCCGTCATCTCCTCAAACGCCTTGGATGTAAACTGCTTTCCATTATCCGAATGTATTATTTCAGGCACACCGAACTTGTAAAATACTTCGTTTACCAGAAAGTTCACTACGTTCAACGTTGTCGCCTCCTTCATGGCCTTCAGGAAGGTATACTTGGAGAAATGGTCCACGATGAATATCCACGAATGACCATTCTTGGACCTCGGATATTTGCCCAGGAAATCGATATAGAGTGGCCTTTCCGTATCTTCCCTTTTTCCGATTCCTACCTGCATCCTGAAGATAGGCGTATTCACGAACCTGCATCGTCATCCCCGGCCAATAGAACTGGCGGCGCAGGGTCTCCAATGTCTTCGTCATTCCACCATGGCCACTCTTGGGGTCCGAATGGGCACGCTCTACCAAGCTGTGTGTCAGGCTCTGTGGGATCCACAGCTTCCACTCGGATCCTTCCTGTTCATCGTCCAGATTCGGAGTCCCCATGCGCTTGAAGATCAGTCCGCTGTCCACCTTTAGGTCCGGTAAGTGCTTCCTGTTGGACTCCATGTCTTGCACTAACTCCAAGTAATCCTCTGCAGCAAATTCGGTCGTCTCGAATCCCAGCGGAAATAATGTTCCACCAGACACGTATTGGTGGAACTCGCATTTGTCGGGTCACCTAATCCTGAGGAACTCCTGGGGAAGAGAAGGGACAGGCCAAACGGTAGGTAATATGCGCTGTAAACGATCCCGCCGAAAACTAATAAACGCGACCCTTCTTTACAGGCAACAACGACGACAACTGAGGTTTTTGGGTCTAAGTCCGGATAAATTCACAGGTCAACACGGTAAGTATAAATTAAGTAATGTGCACATTTAATTAACATTAATGATTTTTAGCCACTTCTGGGCTAGGCACCGGGCAAGATATGCCCCGGCCGAAGAGTACCCTGCCGTAGTCCAGCAGCAATAAGGGCCTGGAACACCACGAGGAACGGTAGCGAAGGCGAGAACCCTACGAACCCAAAGCGAGTGGGTTTTAATAGCCCGGAACGGACTCATCGGGGAATGTTGGATGGCGTTGGCTGCGTCCGAGGAAGGCGGGTGGTGCTTGTCCAGATCTCGTAGCTGCGTCGAACGAAGGTGGGTATATATGTATACGCCAATCTCCAAGGTAAACTCTCTCTGCCCTATCATTGCTATATCGCCATATTCCCTTGCCTCTCTCGAAACTGGGTCATCGGACATATTCAAGGCCAAAGTAAAGTAATCCCTGTAAGCAAGTAAAGTAATTCAAATGGCCAGATCGTCCGCCAGATTCCCCAAAGGGGGCGCCACCGAAACCATCGCTCTATCATCCTAACCTATCGATAGAGTCCATCCCATTATCGACTCCAACTGCAACACCAACCAAAGATTTCGAGAGGCGCTAACCGGAGTCTCAGCAGAACGACGAAATAATTGGTAGCTTTGGAGATACGGTAGGAATCAACACGGCACTGATATCATCCTGCAGTTCGAACGGCGACTAACGCGGGGCCCACACATGACGGGAAGTATTCCTGATTTTGTCGTATACTTGTATACTTTGTGTGTCCTTCTTTCAGATCAAAGGCGGATGTCCTTAGCGTGATACACTCCGAGACTGCGCCCTTGGAGGTCCTCCAGCAAGTATGCATTGTTGCCGACGGATTTGACGACCCTGGCCTTCAGGAACTTGCGAGCGAACTTCGCATTGAAAGATTTGCTGAAGTCACTCTGCACGAACTTGCGGCGGAAGACTTCTTGACCCGGGTTGGCGAGTAGCGTACGGGCTTGCTTATCGTAGCGTTGCCGGCTCATCTCGTATGCACCCTGTAGTTGCTTCTGAACCTTGTCATGGATTACCCGAAACTTGTCCTTGGTCTGCATTCCCGCCATCTCGTGGTCGCACAGAGACCTGAGTTGTCTGGCTAGCTTGTAGCTGGAACCGTTGAGGAACATATAATGGCCGAATACGGTGAAGAACGGCGCTTCTCCTGTAGCTGAGTGGACAGGGTTCCGGATGGCTACCTCAATCTCGGGCATTCACGGTGATCTCCGTACAATAAGCTGCGAATTGCTGCCAAGACACTACGGTTAACTCTTTCTGCTGCATTGCTCTGGGGTGAGTATATCGGAGTCTTGATGTGGTGGATACCGAAGCCATCCGTCATCTCCTCAAACGCCTTGGATGTAAACTGCTTTCCATTATCCGAATGTATTATTTCAGGCACACCGAACTTGTAAAATACTTCGTTTACCAGAAAGTTCACTACGTTCAACGTTGTCGCCTCCTTCATGGCCTTCAGGAAGGTATACTTGGAGAAATGGTCCACGATGAATATCCACGAATGACCATTCTTGGACCTCGGATATTTGCCCAGGAAATCGATATAGAGTGGCCTTTCCGTCTCTTCCCTTTTTCCGATTCCTACCTGCATCCTGAAGATAGGCGTATTCACGAACCTGCATCGTCATCCCCGGCCAATAGAACTGGCGGCGCAGGGTCTCCAATGTCTTCGTCATTCCACCATGGCCACTCTTGGGGTCCGAATGGGCACGCTCTACCAAGCTGTGTGTCAGGCTCTGTGGGATCCACAGCTTCCACTCGGATCCTTCCTGTTCATCGTCCAGATTCGGAGTCCCCATGCGCTTGAAGATCAGTCCGCTGTCCACCTTTAGGTCCGGTAAGTGCTTCCTGTTGGACTCCATGTCTTGCACTAACTCCAAGTAATCCTCTGCAGCAAATTCGGTCGTCTCGAATCCCAGTAGTTCAGTCGGATCAACGAGGACTTCGTCAATGCAGCGGGATGGCTTATCGGCAACTACGTTCTTGCTGCCTTTACGATGTTCAATGCTGAAATCGTAACCGTGCTGCTGGAGGGACCACCTCCAGAGACGTCCTGACAGATCCTTCATCGTCATCAACCACTTCAGGCTGGCGTGATCGGTTATGCATGTGAACGGCACATACGGTCTGAACTTCCGAATGGCTAGGATGCCCGCCAGGCACTCCTTCTCAGTGACCGAGTAGTGGACCTGGTGCTTGTTCATCTTGGCTGAGAAGAACGCGATGGGTTGCTCGTCCCCGTCCTGGATCCGCAGAAACAATACTGCTCCGACGCCAACGTGAGATACGTCGCACTGGATGAAAAAATGTTTCTTGAAGTCCGCATGAACCAGGACCGGCGGCCTCGTCAAGGCCAGCTTTAGATCATCGACTGCTTGTATGGCGCTGGGATTCAATGAAAACCTGGTAATTCCAGTCTTCTTCAAGGCCTCGGAGAGCGGTGCAGCCAGCGTGGCGAAGTTTTTGACGAACCGTCGATACCACCCAGCCGTGCCGAGGAAGGCTCGAACTTCCTTCAAGGATTTCGGGTAAGGCATCTTCTGAATTGCTGAAACCCGTCCAGGATCCATCCGCAAAAGACCTCCTCCGACTATAAACCCCAGGTAAGTCCAAGACTTGAAGCAAAACTTCGACTTTTTTAACCCTATTGTCAAACCGGCTGCTTTCAGACTTTGGGCTACGCGCAGCAAGTACCTCAAGTGCGTCTGAAAATCTGGAGCGAGGATTAGCAGATCATCCAGGTATACGAAGACGTTGGATCTGAGCTCCGCTGGTATCACCCGACCCATACGACGCACCAAGCGTTGCGCCGCGTTGCACAGCCCAAATGGCATCATTCGAAACTAGTACAACGGTCTGCCTGGAACCGTGAACGCCGTGTACTCCTTGCTCCTGTCTTCCAGTTCGATCTGCCAAAATGCAAACTTAAGGTCTACGCTGGAGATGTAATGCGTCTGATCTATCCTGGAGAGGATCCCATCAATACTAGGCAGAGGATACGCATCCTTAACAGTCAGTGCGTTCAGCTTACGGGCATCCAGACAGAACCGGTCTTTCCCTGGCTTCGACACCACCGTTGTGCGGTTGCTCCAAGGGCTTTTGCTTTCTTCGATGACACCCATTTCCAGCATATTATCGATTTCATCCTCGACTACTCTCTGTTTCGCCGGAGACATCGGATACGGACAATCTTTGAACAGCTCAATGGAATGCCTTTCCACGCTGGTGGTTCCGAGGCCATCCCGTTCAAAGGTAAGAAACTCCTCCTTGACCTTTTCTAATGCATCCTTTTCCTCCGCAGAAAGACTCCAGGATTCGGGTTCCTCCGTTATCTCGTCCTCATCCTCTGTTCGGCGTAGTGCTCCATCTGGCTGGCATGGATTTCATCAGCTGCCTTGATGGCTTTCGGCACCGGGTTTCCTACAACGGCTGGAGCCAGTCCGAACGCCCGCCAGAAGTCGACTCCGAAGTACGCTGTTTGTTCCAGGTATGGGCAAAGGTAGAACATGACCATCTTACTCACGCCTTTGTATTTCACAGGCAGCTCCGCGCGTCCAATAATTGAACTATCCTCGCCAGAAGCGGTCCGGACTACTGAGAAATACGGTTGAGCAGTCACCCCCAGCGTTTCCACGAGCTCTCGGCAACCTTTGCCCAGCACGCTTACACTTTCCCCCGTGTCCAACAAGCCTGTGAGCAGCTGGCCCATGACCTCCACGTCGGCAAAGGGTCTAGGATCGCCGAAATCGATGCGCTTCACGGCGGCCACCACCTCTCGTCGCCTGGATCTCCTTATCCTGAAGCGTTCCCTTGCCTTCTGGACTCTCCGTGAGACCATACGCATGCCGCTCAATTGATGTTCTGCAAATATCCTATTTCGCGCCTCCATATATCGCCATAGCCGTTCCACTTATTCCTAACAGATTTGCTCTATTTGTTTTTTTTTTTTTTTTTTTTATTGATATTGTTATCTATTTTGGGAACTACCTCGTGGGATTCCAATCTGGGCGAGTCCCTCTCACTTTTTGACTGCCCAGTCGGCCGTTTTCCGCACACTCAGGGCATTTTGGAGTGTTTGTGTCCGGTCTGCCGCACTTAAAACAAAATCTTTTCCACTCCGCGGACGGGCAGTCTCGGAATCCGTGCTCCGCGGCACCGCAATTCCAACAGCCTGGCTTGAAAGGATTTCTCGGCCTTCCACGGAGCTCGTCCACCTCGAGGACTTGTTGCTCGTCGACTTCGTCCGGTATGCGCGCCTCGCTGACCCGCAACTTGTTCAACTGCCCGTAAGCAGCGCGCCGTCGACGACCGAAGTGTTTCTTCACATCGACGCACTTCTCCCGAAGTTCGTCTACCGTGAGTATATCCATCGCGTAGGCAAACCTGGCTATACTATCCCTCAAGCCTTTCTTAACCACCTTCACCAACTGCCGCTCTGGCATTGGTTTTTTTAGGCGGGAGACTAGTTGCTGCATTGCATTGATGTAATCATCCACGCCCTCACCCGGCTGCTGCTTAGGTAGCTGTAGGAGCTCGTGCATCCTTTCCAGTTCCGTCTGGTGACCAGGGAACCGATCCATCAAAGCCCTGCGCAGCTGGCCCCAAGTGTCTACTCTGGATTGGCGGACATGTACCCAGTACCACTTCTTTGCTCTGCCCGATAGGAGGGCGTGGAAGTTTCGCAGAACTTCATTCC